GAAACAAACTTAAAGCAAGTTCTTCTTACCAAACATTGTGTGTTTTGTGTCATTTAATTCGCACACTAACCCTGTTACATAGGTATTATTAATTTCCCATTATATAGATGAGGAAACTGAGGTTTGAACAGCTGGTTCAGAATATCACAGCTAGTATACAAATGTTAAATATGCCAACATATTTTTAAAAAGAAAAATCTTGCTCTGTATTTATCAGCAATGAGCTTGTCTCTAGATACCTAAGTCATATTTCAGAACATTACTAGCAAATCACAGTAACGATGTTTGTATATAACGCTCCGTGTGGCTAGCACTGCTTCATGCCTTTTACATGTATGAACTCATGTCATCCTCACAACCCTCCTATGTATGCTAATCCCCTCTTAAAGATGGGAAACCAAGTTTCAGAGAGGTTCAGTAACTTGCACAAAGTCACACAGCTAATCATTACAGGAGCTAGGAGACAATGCGGGCAGCCTAGATCCAGTCTGCTCGTAACCACGTGCTTCAGTGTATCTCCTAAGTGGAAACCTGGGCTGTACCAAACAGACCTGGGGTCGAGCATCAGCCAGCATGAGAGTGGGAATTACTCCTCCTGTTCATTTTCTCCAAACACCGGAAGCAGGGTAGCTAGGTTGCATGGGGAACAGTGTCACTCTGCTTATCCTTTTAGCTGTTTTGGTACATTTACATGTCGCATTAGTGGGGGTGAATGCTATTTCGTGTACAACAGACAGTAGCAGAATGACCTCATATGAGAGAGAAAATAGCCTCCCCAGTGCTGAACTGGGTCTGAATTTGGTTGGTTGCACTTGAGGAGGCTCAGCTAGCCAAGGTCTTGGAGTGGCTCTAGAGGCCCCCAGACCAGAGTCAGGGTCCAGTGCTGGGTACACTAGAAGGGATGGGGGAGGAAGAACAGGTCCCTGCAAAGCCTTGCCCCCTTGGTGTGTCCTCCCAGCAAGTACAGCGTGTGATACCACAATTGCCCCACCATGCTTAGAGGCTCCTGACCTCCACAAAACTGGCCAAGAGAACTGAATTTACAGCAAATAATGACATGGCCCGCTCCCGCTTCTGAAAGGTTGCTGAGCACTGGCTGGAAGCCAGCCTTAAGAGTTCACAGGCAACAAGGTTCCTGAGCTGTCTGTAGTTAGCTCTGGTGGCTTCTTTCGCTCTTTGGCAGTTTCTGCTCTGAACTTGAAAGGGTATTGAAGAACCAGACCCATTGACTATGAGCTGGAAAACTCTCCTAAGTGCAAAGAGTCCAGTGTTTAAGAGCAGAGGGCAAGCTTGCCAGTTAGTTTACTTGTTTACTGATAACACCAAGGTCAAGGGTGCGGATCCCAGTACCAGCCAGCTGCCAAAAAGAAAAAAAAGCAAAGTGTAGAATACATTGCTACATTAAGATATTGCTGCTACCCATAATTAATTCTGTGCTGTTCTGCAGACATCACCTTTGTGGGCAATTTGACACCAAGAGTTTATTAAGTTTATTAATTCATAGTACAGTATAATAGTTTTCCTCACTTAAAAAAAACTTGACATATTTCTAATGTAAACGTTGCTCATTATGAGAGGGATATATTGAATTTCTTTTTTTTAAAGCTAAGCAATAAGGTTTTCTTGAGAGTGAATCATTCATTGTCAGATTACTTAGTCATCTAGTTCTTTGTAAAAAGGAATAGTTTTTTTAAAGCAAATATTTTGTATGCAGTCCTTCAACCCGTAACACCAGTTTTAAATTTGTACAGTTTATTGAGTGCCCACAGTGATGATGGTAGTGGTGGTGATGGTGATGACAACTACCAGCCACCATTTGAACGTGTCCCACAGTTTCGGTTGAATTCTCAGCACAACTCTAACTCAGCAGACTGATTAAGGATCAGGTTGCCTGGGTTCCTATCTCAGCTCATCCCTCACCAGGATCTGAGACCTCAGGTAACTTGCATAACCTCTTTCCTCATCTGTAAAATGTGGATAAGAATAATAGTTAAGGTTGTTGCAAAGAGTAACTGCGATGACGCACAGAAAGTTCTCAGCGCAGGACCTCAGGCTGCTGCAGGTGGTGGTGTTTGCCCCATTCTGCACGTAAGGAAACAGCTCAGGGCCCTGGCAAGTGAGGGGTGGAGCCAGGATAGGGACCTCTGGATTCATGGCTCCCAGACCCTGCTGTTCCTAAGCACTCCGCCTTGCAGCAGACATTGGGAGGTGGGTATTTGTCAACCGGTGTTGGATTCTGCTTTTGCAGCTGCCCTGCCAAGGACCCGCCTTCACCTCTTGATCCTCTCAGTAAGCCCTTAAGTCTTTTAACCAATCTGGTTGCCCTTTTTTGAACTTGATCCAATCTAAATACGTCCGTAGTGCCTGTAAAATTCACAAGTAAGCTTAGTAATATAGTACAGGGTGTCCAGGGTTTTATGAGGTAGGATTATACTTTCCCTGTCATATGAGGTAATTCTGCTGGGGTGAACCTGAAGTGACATTCATCTTCATTAATGCGACTTGTATTACAAACACATATCTGATGTGTAATTTACTGCCTTCCATAGTCTGTCATCTCTGCCTTCAGGTTTGTCACATTCACACAAAAACAAAAAAGCCCTCTTCCCTTCTTTTTTTTACACATATAAAACGAGTCATGGAATTGAGGCAGATATCTTAATCCTGAACCACCTCACCCACATACACCCCTTCCCCAAAACGTAGTTACCCAGAAACGCCCCCAGTGTGTGCTTGGAGAATCACGGACCTTCTCCATCTCCTCTGGTTTTGTGTGTAAGTCTGGTTTCAACCCTTTCTTCTAAAGCACTCCCGGGCCGGCCCAGTGGCGCACTGCTACAGTGCACCGCTTGGGAGCGCGGCGGCGCTCCCACCGAGGGTTCGGATCCCACATACAGACCGGTTCCCGCTCACTGGCTGAGCGAGGTGCGGGCGCAACACCGAGGGTTGCGATCCTGTTGCCGGTCCCGATCCCGTACGGGCACGACACTGAGGGTTGCGATCCATTGCCGGTCACGAAAATAAATAAATAAATAAATAAATAAATAAATAAATAAATAAATAAAGCACTCCCAATTTTCTTTTTTGGCTGGGCTTCTCTTCTCATCACCCCCGGAGTGAGTTTTGCTAAACTTCATAGCCTTGCATGTCATTCACCATGAAACTTCATTGCGTTTTTAGTTCTAACAGAAGAGAAACCCTTACAGTCTAGTGTGCTTGACTCTAACATTTAACATTAACGTACTATCTCCTGAATGAAGGCATTCAAGGTTTTTATTTTTATTTTATGATTATTATGTTGAAATTATTAGTAACACTTAGGGGGTCAGTCTACCAGGCCCATCCTGAATTTCTGTGAAAAATGACATTGCATTTTTATTTTCTCAAGACTCTGTAACTTAGCATAAAAGTGTTTGAAAGTAGATCAGTCTCCCCCAGAATCTTATTATTTATCTGTGCATCTTACATACGCATGTTGCCTGAATTTTCTGCCTACTTGTTATCATGTATTTCTCCCATAGAAGATTACAAACCCCATTAGAATAGAAATTTTGACCTGTTCATTTTTGCATCTCTGCACATGACAGTAATTCAATAACTGCCTATTGAATTAAATCTTTGAATTTCTGATCTTTGCCCTACTTGCTTTATAAGGATAATTATTTTGGAAGTAGTAGTAGTTGTACTAGTAGTACAACTAGTAGTAGTACTAATTGTATCTAGTTGCAAAATTGTTCAAATGTTCGTTTCTCAAAATTAAAATGAGTAGCCATAGTACTAACCTAGAAATGCATAATACATGTGCATGTATATGTGTGTATAGATAGATGTGAATATGTTTATATACTTCATAAAATGAGAGGGGATAGAGAACGGTTTGAGCACTTTGGAAGATGGTTCAATTAAATATACCCAGTGAGTTTCTTTGTATTGCTCTGATTAAGTGGGGGAGGGGCAGTGAGGGGGCGAGGAAGGAGACTATGTTGTTTCCTTGGATTAGTTTTTTTCATTTGGTTCACACTTATAGAAAAGAGGACCATTCAGAGTTCATTAATAAAGAAAGGCAGTATATTATGCTGCATTCCTTTCAACTGGAAGAAATATGCTGTGGCTAGCTGAAATAGGGGAAGGGTGTGGAGGGGGTTAATCGTTTTTGTACGCTCCCAGAATGCAGGTTGCATGAAGTTAAATAGAATAATCCACATGATTGTAAAACTATACACCTGTATTGGCCTATATGCTGCAGCACACGTGAAAGTTGTTCTGCTCATGACCCACGTGTGGACAGTTGCCCATGACTTGGTGTTGGATGGAGTAAGTAGTTTACTTGCCAGCTCACCCTCTTGTTTATTTTCAAAGGGTAGAGCTTCTCATCTTAATGCATTTTATGTTAACAAGACAACAAGACATTTTTTCTTTCACATTGTCCAAATGAGAGGAGGATTTCCTTCCTGGTGGAGTGGTGAGGAGGAGGGTTTGGAAGGGCAGATGGCCAACCTCTGGCTGTATGTTCTCTCTGACTCAGACAGAAGATATGATTATGAACGGGGCTTTTGTGAGACAAGATAACATGTTACTTTCAATGTGATAGCAAAGGCTACCCAAAAGTGGGGGGAGGGGTCAAGTTGGGTTACACCAGTTAGAAAATTGAGGATTTCCGAAAGAATTCCTAGAATACGAATTCTATACTTAAAAGACTTCTTATAAGAAAGTGAGTCTAAGAAAGCAATCAGGTTCATGCCTATAAAAAACATGAAATGGTGTTACAGAAAACCTTGTAATAAGTATGGAGTACTTCCAACCCTCCATTCCTAGTGGGAATGCGTCCAGCAGTCATCGCTCACTGGCGCCCCCTTGCGGGATTCATTCTTCCTCACACTTCATTCCCTTGGGTAAGATCCTGCAGTGAACAGGGCACACTTTAATATCCAGGGTTGGAAGGTGTACATGTGGTTTAGATTTTATTCAAGCTTTCTCATTATTTTTCTCATTTATTTTAGGCCAAAGAACTGCCAACTTTAAAGGATAATGATTTCATTAATGAGGGCCAAAAGATCTATATTGATGACAACAAGAAGAAGGTATTCCTGGAAAAACTGAAAAAGGATGTTGAGGTAAGAAAAGTCAACTTAAGGACAGCCCCCTTGTATATATGTCAACACTGTTGGTGTTTAGGAGCTTTTAAAACCATCTATTTAAATCTGCAACCCAAGCAAAAAAAACCCATATTCTCCATTATCAAAATCAGCTCTACACAGGTATATCTCATATCATGTGACCTGGTTTGAAAAAGAAGTGTGCCATTCAGCAGCCCCCTCCGTTAGATGAAAACACAAGAAAGCACCTGGTGCCTCTGCAAGGTGTCCCCACCCTCGGGTTCCGCCTTCTTTGTTGGTGGGGATGGTCTGTGGTCACAGCCATGATGGCCATTGCAGCCGGTCTTTGGGAGGGGTGGGGGAATGCTGGATTCTGACAAACAGCAGAGCATTTCAGAAACTACCAGAGTTTTGGCATTTTTCCCTCCAAACCACATCTCAGTGTTGGTAAACAGCCTTGGTCACTTAATGCTTTAACATTTTCACCGGCCACCACAAACAGTGTCATGCAGCCCAGTGAGCCAGCCTTGCCACATCATGGGACCAGCACAGGGGCAGCTTTGGGCACTAGAGTCATGAGGGAGGCAGTGAGAAATAAAACACAGTGTTCTGATGGGCTTCTGGCCTACAATGAAGTTTGCCTTTACAGGGATTGAACCCTGACCTTGGTGTTATCAACACCTTGCTCTAACCAATTGAGCTAACTGGCCAGCCCGAAGTTTTGTTCTTAAACACCATTTTAAGAATTAAAAAATATACTTTTTCCCATCATTTTTTCTTGTAAAGGCATTACAGCTTTCCCATTGTATTCCCTCATTTAATTCTTTTAGAAATAGTGCGGAGAGAATTCTAATTTAGTCAATTACCAAACTAAGTTTTTGTTAGGTGTTACTTTCGTTCATCTGTCTACACTTTTTTTTTTCACTTGAAGTACTCTTCCCTGCATACCAGTACAGATCTGCTACTTAGAGTCTTGTGGAAAGATTTTCCTTCGCATGTCATTAAACAGAAACAATTAAAATGACTAGAGCCAAAGAATGAATATCATGCATCTGATTGTATTTGCCACAAAGGCAGAAACAGTATTATAACTTCCTTTTTAATCTTCTGACAGCTCTTTTCCTTGCAGGACAGTCAGACTGACCAAGTTAGTACCTAATTATTTTTAGATCATAAATTATTTTAGTAAAATTTTTTTACTTTATTTCAACCTTCATGGTATACTCACTTAGATTAGAACCTAAATATTGGTTATTTGTGAATGGTACAAGTGTCTACTTTAAACAATAGCTACAAAAAAGTAGATACAAGTGTTTGCTTTTATCGTGTAACATTTTTTCCTTTTGTCTTTCATTAAGGAACATTTATTTTTCCTCAGTTGCCAGTGGTTATTATCAAAATGAGTATCAGTTAAGCTTTTTTCACTTACTTTGGGGTCAACTTGATCTAACTGATAATTACCATAGGTGAACATATTCTCTTTTGGATTTTTATTGATTAATTAACAAATCTTTGATTCTGAGAGTAATATTGTTTTAGCAATTATGGGAAGTAGCCCTTAGAATTATCTGTGATCCGTCAAAAAAAAATTGTTTTCATTTTTTCTGTTGGCTGTATATCACTGTGACATTTAGAGTCCAGAAATAATGTAACTCAAGCAGTTCAGATTTACAGTTGAATTATACAAGGATCCGCTTAGCCCTTTTGTTGTCTGTAATAATGTTGTTGATTAGAGGATTGGATGGTTTAATCCCAGGCCTGGCTCTAGCATGTGGCCGTTTTGTTGAAATGGAGGCAGGGCATAAAGTGTTCTTTCATTTGAAAATATCCTCAGTGGCTGATAACAGTGTCTTTAGTTTTGAATTCATGGCGAAGCATCATTTAATTTTTAAGCAGGTAATTATGGTGAAGTAGCTTGACATTTGATCTTGATAATGAGGCTAGAATTTAATCTAGTTTTCTTTTTTCCTTGGTTCCATGCTTTCTAATTTAGTTGACTGGCCTGTTAGAGTTTACATGCAGATTTTTGCTGTTATTGTTTTTCCTTAATGCTTAAAGTAGGAGATCTGAGTTTATTACAGTGCAATAAATCTTTTTCTTTCTCTTTTAGGGGAAAAAAGAAAGGAATTTTCATTTGAGAATCTACTTGCCTTTTTTTATATATATACTTGAATTTCTGTTCTACGATTTGTATGCCGAGTTGGGTACTTTAGTCCAGATAGCTTAGCACCTAACTAAACATACATGAATGCTTTTCTTGGTGGGGGGGGGGAGTGCTCTATGGAGAGTAAAAGTCACTTTTGCCTTCTGACCTGCTTGTTGTCACCTCTGACTCCTGACTCTGACCCTGGAGAGTCACCCTGATCTCTTATGGCTCACACTGAGATCCGTGCACCCCACAGTGCAAAACTGTGCTTTCTCCGCAGTGCCCAGGAGCGCCCCCAGCACAGGGCATCTCATGTTCATTGTCCCAACCATGGACACATGTGAGAGGGGCTAAGGCAGTGGCAGTAGTGGGGTTGTGGCAGCCAACATTTGTGGAGCACAAAGAGCCCAAGTCCTTGCCTGCAGTCATTGTGTCTTCATTCTTACATCAGCTCCTCAAGGGTAGGTACTGTTACCATCCCATTCTGATGGACGAGGAAGCCCAGTCCAGAGACACTGTGGAATCTGCTCAAAAGCACACAGCTACTGCCTTCAGAGTGGAACCTGAGGCCGCACAGGCCACGCTCCTACTGGCTCTGACATCAAACGCAAGTTAAAAACGTTTGCGAGAGCACCATGGAGACTGTTTTCTGATAAATGCTCCATGGGAAGATTGTTATCATTTTTTAACAAGAAAAGTATAACTGTTAAATGGGGCTGACTGGAGTTTTCATTCTACATCACCAATGTGTTAGGAGGTGGTAATTCAGTACAGCAGAGGTGTTAATAAAGTTAGCAAATAAAGTTAATTTAAAACTATGGTGAGGAATAGTTTATTAATTGCTCCTTTGCCACCTAGTTTTCTGGAAGAATTTGTGACAGGATTCACAAAGATCTTGAGGAAGATACTAGCTCAAAGATTTGGCTTAACGAGGAATTCGTTATTCAGGAATTAGGTGGCACATTCTGAGGGAAAAAGAGGCGGGTCACAGCTCTGCCAGGTAATTATTAGGAAGTTGGAAAGAAAGAAAAGCAGGGGACCTGAAAAATTAAAACTCTCTATGCTTTGAAATCTTATGTTCTTAAAAAATTAATACATTTGAGTTAGAAGCTTAAAGGGATAAACAAAAAAGCAGCAGATATACACTGAGTTCCTAACATTAGCTGGGTGCAGACCCCATAGCGGAGGCTTGGTCCCCTCTCTGTCATCTTTCTCGATCCTGAGGCTTTCAGTCCACAGTAATTTTGTGGCACCCGACGGAAATTTTCTCTACCAAGAATCTCAGGTGTATTGCCACACTCCTCTTCACTCTACCTCAGAAGAGATTTAAAGTGAATTTGTGCAGAAAAGAACTAGTGGCTCAATGGAGTTTTCCACGTGCTTCTTCTCTGGGCCGCCCAATGTGAGCCTGTCTCCAGGTTTAAATTGCATACTTGATTTTTTTTTTTTTTGTGACCGGTAAGGGGATCGCAACCCTTGGCTTGGTGTCGCCCGTACCGCGCTCAGCCAGTGAGCGCAGCAGCCATCCTTATGTAGGATCTGAACCCACAGCGGGAGCGCCGCTGCGCTCCCAAGCACTGCACTCTCCCTAGTGCAGCTGGCCCGCATACTTGATTTTAAAAAGGCCTTCTACAGTCTTCAGAACATTGACATTCATAACCACAGCTTCTGTCATTACATGCCAAGCACCGTGTTCTTTAGGCCTTGCCCATATTGTCTCTTTATCCTTTCCACCTGCCCGTGAGGTGAGTGGTATTGTCCCATTTTGAAGTTAGAAAAACTGAGGTGCAGAGAGGTGAATGAATCGGGGCATAGAGCCAGAAAGTGAGACAAACAAGACTCCATCTCCCAGCTGACTCCAAAACCTATACTTTTTGTTTTTAAGATTATCTGAAATTTTAAAGAAGAATAGACAGGGTGGCTTCGTCAGTAAAACCTGCACTCTTAACCGTGCTGTGCTTCATCTTTTCCGTCTCCACGTCAGGCTCACAGATGTGTGAACGTGTATCATGCCCATCAGGTTTCCTCCATCTTCTTGGGCATGTCAGAACAGCTTCTCACCTAGGGATACGTTTTGCATTTCACTGATGGGTTGGTGGGTCGCACTAGGAGTTAAGTGCACCTTTATTTCTTCCTCGCTGGAAGACAAGCCCAGGCAGTGGTCTGACCACAGGCCTGAGGCGGCCCAGACGGGGAGGACGTGGGCCTGGAGACCCACCTGGTTTGTGCCACTGACCAGCCCCCCATCAGCCCTTCCCTGCCTGAACTTCAGCAAGTTAATCACAGGCAGCCCCTGCTTTTTGTGCATAAGGCACAGTTGAAAGTGTATTTGAGGGTCGACCATCTGAAGGTCAAACAGTAGACTTCCCTGCTAAAGGAGGGTTCCCTTCCCGGGAGCACAGAGAGGCTGCACATGGTCTCATTGTGCTTCCCTGAGGTGCTGCCTCTGTAGCCTCGAACACAGGTTTTCGATGTCACTTTGTTCTTTGCTTTTATTTGGTGTTGGTGGTTATTTCCTGGAGAAAGTGGGTTGGGGAGAATTGGGGAGAGTTGGGGGGGTGGGGAACATGCAGCAGGTGTCCCATTCTCTAGTTCAGCAAATGCTGAGTACCTGGGAGCCCGCCAGAGCCCTGGTGGCGCTGCTGTGTCGGGAAAGAGAAGTTACTCAGGAACTCTACCGGAATGAGTGTGTGGCCAGCCTAGTGTCACTGAGGAGGAGCACGCAGTGCTGTAAGTGCCCGTACTCTGGGGCTGTGCTGCCCTGAGCAGGTTCCTCTACAGCTGAGCAGGTTCAGGAGGAGGTACCTGGACACAGGTGGGATGGGGGTGGGGCCAAGCTATCCAGGCCTCCTGGGCCATGTGAGAGTTCTATTTCTGCCCTGTGAGAAATGGGACACCATCAGAAGGTTTTAAGCAGGGTCATGTCATGATCAAATTTGCATTTTGAAAACATCTTTCCTTTCCAGAGGACTAGAGGGGCATGTTCAGGCAGCACCCAGTCTTCCTCTTTGAGCAGGGCCCACCTGGCTAAGTCCCCACCCACCAGCCACCCACCAGCACCCCTGGGCTTGGGGCAGATGTCGGCCACCTGGCAACTTGGTGCCTCCAACAGTGCCCCCACCGCCAATCCCTGACTCCTGGAGTGGCTTTCAGGAAGCGGGGGAGGCCAGAGAGACTTTAGATAAAGGGACCAGGGCCAGGTATCATTCTAGGTATGGGAAGGGACAGTGGAGGAGACAAAAGATACCCTACCCCGCTTCTCCAGGAGCTGAGAGGCTGAGCCCAGCCCCAGGCACGGCCCCTGGAGACCTTAGAACAGCACCTGGGGCAGAGGAAGGGCGCAGCGAGCACCCGCTGGCCCTGCCTCCCGAGCGGTCCTTCTCATGCAGCGTGTTCCCCGCACGCCTCCAGAACACGAGGCCTGGCCCGCTCCAGAGGGGGAGCAGGGCCCCTGTCACATGGTGTGAGGCATGCTGGCGGGCCCTACACCCCTCTGGAGACACAAAGCTTGTTAACGTGGGAGGCCCTCCTCCTCCTCGGAGACCTGTTGACTTTGTTTTACTCATTGTCTTCCTACTGGGGTTGTTAGTGACATGATTTGGGAAGAGCTGCTTTCACGTAGCCCCAGGGGCAGCACGGTCCAGTGCAGAGTGCTCGGGCTCTGTGCAGGCTCTCAAGTTCACCCCTTACCTCTGAGGCTTTGTGTTCTCTTCCCTCCTCTGATCTGAGCCTGCTCGCTGTCTCCCAGGGACATCTCAGACCCTGTCCTGTGCCAGGTCTGCTGTCCCCATGGTGCTTAGTTAGTCCTCTTGCACAGGCAGGGCCCATGTAAAGCAGAGTAGGTCGCCCAGCTCCAGGCTGGGTGGCGGGCACCATGTTGGTAAAGATTCGAGCAGCATTTCACCACGGTGCTTCCTCTCGCAGCCACAGTTGGGGTGCAGAGGCCGCCAGTGTGGACACATCCCTGGCCAGGCGCAGCCTGCAGCCCAGTGGCTGCCCGGCCCCTGAAGAGCCGCAGCCTTTGCCCACTGGAAAGACAGTCTGGTGAGGGAGGTGGAAAGTGGAGTTGGTTGCTGTGACCGTTGTAATAGGGGGTGTGGGGGAAGCCACGAGAGCAGGCGGCTTCCTGTCCCTCTGGGGCCAGAACACTGATTCGAGGCATGAGGGTGAGCTCTGCACTCTGTTTAAGTGAGGGGTTTACTTCTATCTATTTTTAAATAAACAGGTTTCTCCTGCCTTGCTTAAATACCTGAATATAAGATTTGTGTCATTTCTGCTTTCTGATCTCAAAACAAATGGGATATAGCCCGGCCACGGGGGATTCATGGTGGGAAAGCAACTAAATGGGAGTTACGGAGGGATAAAGGGCAGAGCAGGCCCCGTGTGTGGGGGGGGGTGTTTGACGGTGTCAGGGAAACAGCTGGAGGGCGGGACACTGTGTGTCCAGAGGTCCCCTCCTCCTCCTTCATACAGAAAGTGGCTTCTCACTTCTTTTCCAGCTCTCAGACAGAGCTGCTTCCCCACAGGCTCAGGAAAAAGAAATGGCTTTGCAGGTCTCAGCAAATTGACCTCAATTCATTTTCTGCCAGAACTTCAAGACCTATAATTGCATACGCTTGCCCTTAGCGTAAGGAAGTTCGCTTCCTAAGTTCTATCAGAGTAGTCCGGGGGCCATCAGCTGCTCCGCATCTCTGAGCGAGGGTGCACCGAGTTCTCCAGGAGTCAGGGCCACGCGCCTTCTCGGATCCGAGCCCAGGGTCTGAATGAACTGGACCCTGTGCAGAGCCGGGGGCTGAGGGAGCCGTTTACTTCCAGCCAGCAGATGGACTGCCGAGGTTTGCACTCAGTCATGCCATGCATATTTTGAGGATCAATTAGGACATTGTGCTTAAGGCCATGTGTCTGGGTGCATCTACTTAAAAGGAAAGGAAAGGAAAGGACAAAAAATAAATCCTGACCTGAAAAATCAAAAAAGAACTTGGCAGACAGGAGTAGCCAAACGCACAGAGCCAGGTCTTGTCCCACATTATAGTGTAGCCGTGGCTGGACCAGGAGAGGGAGAGAGGACAGGAATCCTGGGTCGGCGGTCCCCCTGGGAAGCAAAGCCCCTTCAGCAGCGTTGTCCCCTGCTTCCATCAGGAGGAAGCTGGTCTGGGACAGAAGGACCACATTGCTCACCAGAGCGTTGACACAGTGCATTTGCTCGTTGATGGGGACATTTGGGCTTTCACTTATTCGTGATGGACAGCATAATAATCTCCTCCTCAGAGTGTGCTGAATTTCAAAGTGCTTTCACAAACTGTTCCGAAAGACTGCTGGAAGCTACATGGGAGGTCCCTGGTTTTTCCCATTAGCCAGTCTTAATTGTTGGGAGAAACCTTCTCTTCCCTCCCTCCAGGTGGGTCTCTTTCTTGCCAGTCATGTTTCCTGCTCCATGGTGTCATCCAGCCTCCATGTGATAAATGCACACCTCTCAGCCTCCAGCTTCGTGTTTCAGGGAAAATAATACGAGCTCTGAACCAGCCCCAAGTGTGAGGCTAAGCATGTAGTGACAGAAGCTGCCTGGGAGCGTGAGAGCCTCATCAACCGGGCTCCTGTGCCTCTCCCCTGCACCCTTCCCCGATGTGTGTTCTCCTGAGCTTGCATTCTTCAAATCTTGGTTTTTGTGTCACCCCCTCCCCTCCCCCCAGTTTCTCGCCCAGCTCAAGCTCATGGACTACAGCCTGTTGGTGGGAATTCATGATGTGGAGAGGGCCGAGCAGGAGGAGGTGGAGTGTGAAGAGCACGACGGGGAGGAGGAGGGGGAGAGTGACGGCACCCACCCGGTGGGCACCCCTCCCGACAGTCCCGGGAACACGCTCAACAGCTCGCCACCTTTGGCTCCGGGGGAGTTCGACCCGAACATTGATGTTTATGGAATTAAATGCCATGAAAGTAAGCGTAGTCACCATCGACGCTCTTTCCACACGAAGTGGTTTGGTTTTTGCATAGTTCTCTACAGTAATCGTAACCCCAGTTGCGAGTGTGCCGCAGTGCACAACTCATTCTCCAGGGTCCAAATAAATTGATTTGGGGACAAGAGCATGTTAAAGGAACTGTGATCTCTGGTTTTGAAGTATAATGTGATGAGGTCCTTGAGTTTTGTGATGAATAGAGTGAAACCACAAACTATTTTATATATACAACACACATGTACATATACACACATACACACATGTAAATATAGACAATACATATAAGAAATGTTTTGAAATATATTTTTTTCTTAGCTGTTTTCTCTTTTATCTAAGTCAGAAGTATCATAAATCTGTCCTGAGCTAGGCACATGTATGTGGTCCCCTGTGACCCTCATGTGGCCATCTTGTAGGGCAGGTGCATCGTCACCAACAGCCCTTTCCTTCTCAGGGGCACTGAGGCCAGGCCCCCGTGTGTGGATGAGAATCTCTGACCTGCTGCTGTGTCTGTCTCCTGCCATCCTCCCCCACTATGTGGTCTGTGCCCTCTTCTCTAGAGTCAGACCAATCTTAATGTAGAATATCTAGGTTATTAGATATTTGAAGGACTATTACGTTCTATCTTAGCTACTTTTCCATGAAGAAAACAAAATATATTAGTGACATGATAAAAGCAGCCTCTTGGTTTTTGAGTAATAAAGTGTAGGTAATCATTGTGGGGGTTTTTTTGTTTTTTTAAATCTCAGATGGCCTATCAACCAAATGAGTTTAAATTATGTTTTGTTCTATTTTTATTTTGCTCAACAAAATTGTTTCTTCAACACAGAAAATTAGATGTAGTCAAATGTACTTTTCTTACTGTTTGTAGTTGAAACAGCATCACATTTTTGGAAACATCTAGAAAATAGATATGTGATGTGATGATATATGCCTTTATCCAGTTTGATACTATATCCAGTGAGAATTAACTATGAACAGTATATCTAATGGTAGAAAAGGATTAATGGAGCATGATTAGTTCTACTTGTTTTATGGAGTATTTTACAAATAGGGTTTTTCTTTGTACCAAAGCCATACACAATCATTAAAGAAAAAGCAGATTAACTAAAAATAAAAACACGTGATCCTTGGACATCCACTGTTAATAGCCTGGGGTTATGATGTTCTTTTTTTTTTTTTAACTTTTTGTTTGTTTAACTTTCCAAATTGAAAGAGGACAGGGTAGGGAGTCAGCTGTCTGTTTAGCAGGGACACGCAGAAGTTACGTGGAATCTGTCCTTGGACCCCTTCCATGTACTGGCCCAGCCTCTCCCTCCCTCTGCAGCCCTCGTGCTTCCAGCTGTTGTCGTGTGTCCCACAGTCACTGCTCTCGTGCCTTTGCAGACTCTCCTAGGAAAGAGGTGTACTTCATGGCAATTATTGACATTCTTACTCATTATGATGCAAAAAAGAAAGCTGCCCACGCTGCAAAAACTGTTAAACATGGCGTAAGTATCTCAGGTTTGTTTCCTTCTCTCTCTACTGGGTCCTTGACGTTGTCTGTAATGCAGGGACCACTCCTTTCTACTAAGCCATTCAAAGTCCGTTAGTGATTCTTCCTCCCCACGGGGGTCGTGTTCTGAGTGCAAGACTCAGCACCAGCAAATGCCACTGCCCATACCGTGACTCCCTGTGGCTTCTGGCAAGTCGCTTTAACGGGGCTGCGCCTCATCTTTTTACCCACTGCCGATATTAATAGCCAGTGCATCCCTAGAATACTGTACGCATTCATTTTTGTTTGAAAAATGTTCCAAAGATTAGTTAAAATGCTGATGGTAAAGCGTTTTAATGTTTAGATAATGAAAAGTTATTAGAGAAATGTTCAGAGCTCTCTGCTTAAGATCCTTCCCAAATATACAGGATTATATTGCTTTTCTCACAGTGAATTATATTTTTTTCTATCACAGAAATCTTTTATGTGCAAGAGCAAAGTTTAGTAATATTAATTTCTCATGTTTTTCATGATTGCTCAGAATTATCACTATTCTAGGCATATGTTGACTTGTTGAATCTCTATGACAAGCCTGTGAGGGAAATACTAGTGTATCCCCTTTTGTCAGTTGGAGAAACTGAGGAAGACAGCTTCAGGAGTAACCTGCCGGGGCCCCATAACTAGGAAGTGCTAAAGATGGGATGCCTGCCCAGGCCCGGCCTGGCACCCAGCCCTGCCAGTACACCCCACCTGCCTGGCTGAGCTTCACAACTCGCTGGGTATCCATGTTGCACTTGTATTGCAAGGATCTGTTTTGGCTTTGCAGGTGTACCAGAAGTCATAGAGCCGGTCCCCCACAGGTGAACATGGGCCCTGGTTTGTCAGGGCTGAAGGGAGAGGCGCCTCCCATAGACTATGTAGCGCTAACCAAGATACAGCAGAGCCAACCAACTCAATAGAGGCTCTTTTTCTCTATTTTAAAGTCAAACAGGCTGTCATTCCAGAAATGGAACCAGCCTAAAGCCATATTCCATTGCCAATGAGACACTCCAGTCACATTGTCAACAGCTGTGCTGCACTTGCCGTGTGCAGAGCACCGACCAAGTGCTCCCCCGACAGCTGGCCTCAGAACTTTGGAGCACCATTTTCAGGCTATGCACCGCGCCAATGAGACACTCCAGTCACATTGTCAACAGCTGTGCTGCACTTGCCGTGTGCAGAGCACCAACCAAGTGCTCCCCCGACAGCTGGCCTCAGAACTTTGGAGCACCATTTTCAGGCTATGCACCGCCCTTCCCTGGCTCTGAGTCCACTTCAGGAGGCTGAGGGCAGGGTCTTCGGAAGGTCCTATGATAATTCGGTTGCTCGTCTCTGGTTGAAAGCCATGGGTATATTGGAAAAACATATCTCAGACATAATCCCTGTTTCACCTTTTCTGCTTGTATGGCCTTGAGGAAACACTTTTGGAGCTTCTGTTCCCTCAGCCAATCAAGGGGTCCTAATGCCTTGCTGATGGGGTTTTGTGGGGGGGATACACGAGGTGATTAGGCCAGACACCGGGCACATTGCTCTGTACATGGTTCTTCCCATATTATACAAGATATGAAATTAGAGGGGGCCATAACCAGCATGGCTTCCTGTTAGTCTCCCCGGTGTTGCCAGTTCAGCTCCATGATATACCACATGGCCTAAAATCGTGGTCACGACCAAGACATTACTCTTAGCAAAGGAAGGTTGTGTTGACCTGCTGTCAGGGACCGTTCTCTACCTTCAAGGCCTGGGCTCTTCCCTGGAGACCCCAGCAGCCCAGGCAAGACAATTACGAGTTCCTCTGTAACACGGGTGTCTAAAAATAGCACCTGGCGACTTAGTAACACTCTGGTCTCACCCTTGGCAGCTCAGGAAACTGGTTAGTAACTACCTTGGGTGTGTGGCCAGCACTGTGCATTTAATAATAGCAGACCCCCGTCCACCCCCCACTGGACTTCTGCAGGGGGCCAAGCTTCCTTGCTCAGCACAGGTTTCTGTGAAGGGGGGACAGTGGCACCTCTGTAGTGCTGCCAAGGAACCAGCCCTTCCCTCTGGGGGAGATACAGCCAGGAGTGTTGTGTCTACCTGGTTATGTGCCAGGAAAGAGCTTGGAGCAGCTGCCTCAGAACCTGTTCAAGCTATTGTCACCCTTTGTTTTTGAGAACTAAAGCACTTATTTCTGTCGTAGAGTAAGAGGGTCCTGAAAAATTAACACAATCCTGAAGTCATTGTCATCAGCGTTTCCCTTTCTCCACCTGTTTATGTTTATGTCACTCTGCAGGAGTCTCCAGTCTGCCTTGTAAAGTAAAAGAATTGTCCCTGTGGCTTCTTATCGCAGGGCACACAGATGCCACTGTTTGGTAGGAGCATCCCTCGTGGCTAAGGTGATTATTTTTAAGTTGCAACAGTCACAACACATGTGACAACAGCATCTGGTGCTCCTGCCACCCTTCCCTCATTTTCAGACACAGATTCATCAGAACCTTGATTATTCTGCCCCAATAGCCAAGAGCTAGGTTTTAAGAGTAGAGGCTGCATCGATTTGAAAATTGTTAGCTTAATATTTAGCTGCAATAGAAATAGCTGTAGATAATGAACAGTCATTTGGGGAAATTATAAACATTATGTCAATATTCTTTTCCTTTCAAACTGCCCAGGCTGGAGCAGAGATCTCGACCGTGAACCCTGAACAGTATTCAAAGCGCTTTTTGGACTTTATTGGCCACATTTTGACGTAACCTCCCGCACAGCCTTGGACGGACAGGAGCATGGGAAGGACAGAGGTGGCTTTGGTGTAGGAAAAGTGAAAACCAAACTCAATGCAGCACTCATCTTGCAGGAAGCAAACCTCCTTGTTTACATCTTCAGGTCAAGATGACTGATTTGGGGGCTATGCGCTTTTAACAGCTACCTGATATTTCCCAGCATCGTTCTAGCTATTTCTGATGTGTGTGTATGTGAGCGTGTGCGCGTGCGTGCACATTTTAAAATAATTAATAGTTAATTAAAACTGATCAGCTTCGGTCAGAATGTGTTATGACAGGAACCCTCTGATTCCAGCTGTGGCCGAATGAATGAATGAATGAGTGTGCATATGTGGGGGAGGGGGAGGAGGAGTTGCATGTCAGAGCGGCCACTAGGCATCACACGATAAACTGTGGATCGGTTTATTTTTTTGAGTTGAAAGATGTGAGACAGTATTCATAATAATAATGAAGATAATAATAATGAAGATAATAATGATGATGATTAAAAGGAAAAAACTTAACTGCGAATGTCACACTTCCACCCTGCACGCAGACACTCCTTCCTACTTGTAACCGAGCCCCCGGCAATGGACAGAAGAATGCTGGCGTCTGGGTGTGCACTGGTTCAGGCTTCTGTCGCCACACAGTGTCAGGAGCCTAGGTGTCCCGGAATAGCCACCCCTCCTCCAACAAGAAGTTGAAGCCCCAGTGACTCTGTCTGTACATTTTCACCTCAGTAAATATGTCCAGGAAAATTGCTTACTTCTCTTTTCTTGCCTGGAGCCTCTTCATTGTTACCCTTACATTGCAGTATAGGAATTAATGCTACAAAATAAAAAATAAAGCTTACCTGAAAAGTGCATAGTTTGGGGCAATGGTCTCTACATCTCCCACTGTGGGACAAAGCGTTAAAACTCTCAATTCTGTTACTGAATGCAAATCTGAGTTATAAGATGTTTATGTTTGACCACTGTTTCAACAGTGGTGTTTTCTTAGAATTGTCCCTTTAACTGAAACTTTCAGTTTTACTGTTTACATTATTAGGAAAACAGGGATATTTTTGAATCTAAAAATTTAATGTACAGCATGTGATTTTGAAGTTTACATGTAAAGTCATTTTACAGTGTAGGTGAAATAATGTTTGTCATATTTTGAGATATATCCTGCAGTCATGTTTTCAAATGAAAATGTTTTATTCAAAGTATATGATAGACAGTCTGTTACAATAAAGGGGAAAGGATTGTTCAGTTTCCTCCAGATGGACATTTATCAACCTAATGATTTTTTAAAAAAGAGATTTAACCCAAATCTAGTTATGTAAGTTCATTGCCCTAAACTGTGCTGATTGTGTTTAATCAGGTTATAAATTTCAAACATCGATCATGTATTTACCCACTTTCCTGCATTTTCTGAAAGGCGTTAAGCTAAAATATTAGACATGCTTAGAGTAGATTATCAACTTACACGCTGCGCTGAAGCTGTGCCTTTGAAGTACTTTGTTTAAAACATGAGATGATTTTTGTAGGCAGTCTTAGAAAAGGAAAAAAAAAAACCCCACCCTTCAGTAATTACTTAGAACTCAACAAATCCCCCTGCCATACTGCCTTTTCCAGTGACTTTACGTCAGGGCTACCCAGATTGCAATTGCGCCCAGGGTGCGTGGGTTTCTTTCTCGATATCTTTGTAAGTCAGGAGCGCCACCATCCCCGCTGCTATCCACTGACTTTACATTTAAGTAAATGTTATCTTCCACAGAGTTTCCAGTGACTTTACGTCAGGGCTACCCAGATTGCAATTGCGCCCAGGGTGCGTGGGTTTCCTTCTCGATATCTTTGTAAGTCAGGAGCGCCACCATCCCCGCTGCTATCCACTGACTTTACATTTAAGTAAATGTTATCTTCCACAGACGATATTAACACCTCTGTAACATAGTTGTACAAATCTGTATTGGATGTGTTAAAATTAATCAACACTGATTTGGTTCCCCACCACCACCACCATTAACTCTGGCAGTAGATCAGTTTCAGTCTTCTGACGTTTACTATGGTTTCTTCCACTCAAGACTACAGACTTGAGACCCTGAAGTGAAAACAAGGTACACAGACATTATTTTAGTAACTATTTCCTTTGTGGCCAATCTGTGTATGCTTTTAGAAGTTTACAAACTGCTTTATTTTTGTCTGTAACAGTCTGTCACTCATTTCTGTTGATAAACTCTGGACAGAGCGAGGAAGTTTGCCTTGTATCTTCTAGTGCTAACAATACACTCCAGTCATGAGCCGGGCTTTACAAAATAAAGCACTTTGATGACTCACAAAGTGAATCCTTGGTTCCTGTGTCTCAGTTGTGTTTCTCTTTGTTGCAAACAAATTTTAAATACTAGGTACTGAGAGTATCTTTAGCTAATCCTTGAAGAAGTAAAAGAGGAATGGAATCTTTTTGGTTTCTAGAGCCTTGCCTTTGATCTGTGAACTATTTTATCGGTAAGTAATAGAAACTTCGAAGACAAAATTGACCTAATGAAAGAAGGACAGGCAGAGAAAAAACATTTTATTTTTAGTTTTGGTCAACCTTAGTTCTGTGTGGCAGCAGTTTTTGAAACTTCATCAGGACGGCATTGATGGACAGAAGGCTTTTTTGTGACATTCTACTGTCACTGGTGCCAGGTTAGCAAACACAGTTCTGCTATAGCAACAAGTTCACACTTGTTTTGAAAATGCATATTTATTCCATGCAATTGACATATGAGGGAATAGTTTGAGCATAATGCACATTTCACATTGCTTCTGTGCAGTGTGATCTGCAAGGATTATTAGAAAATGGCACCCAACTGAACTGGGCCATGAGGAATACACAAGATATTCCTCCAACATCTACCAGCACCTCTGTTCACTGCGTATGTGATAAGTCGCACTCACCCAAATCTGGACTTACAACTTTCCACCTGACATCAGATTACCTTCCTTCTTCCCCTTTACAGTAACCCAAGAGTTCTGACCCTTGTAACACCCACTACCACAGGCACTTTTTGGGTCTTTTTCATAACTTGCCCAATTTATTGTGGTATTCATGTATTCCCTAACCATTTAGTATGTTTAAATTGTACTACTGTTTTTATTGGGTTTCTTTTTTTTTCCCTAATGTGTAACTGATGAAGTTTTGGGGTATTGTGTCCCTCATCCCATTTTTCTCAAAAGTTCTATAGTTTCTTTTGCATGATTTTGCCTAGAGCAATGATTTCTAGGAACGTACATGTCAGATCATTACAGAGCTGACTGTGATCGCAGGGAGCTTTAATTCCATTTCTTTCATGGATGCTTTATGTGGACATTCATTTTTCCTTCATTTTGGTTATTTAATTTTCCTGGGTTGAATTCACAGTGGTCCCAGAAAGTTAGTTATTTTTAATTCGTAGAAGGACAAAAGTTGGTATGAAGCAATCCTTGGTGTGACACTTTCGGAAAAAGTGGCTAAGAGTTAAAAGCAAGAGATTAGGAACCATATATAATGAAGTGGTGATGTACATAGTGTGTATGTGTATATTACGGGGCAGAGAGGTTGAACACAGAATTAAAATCTTTGAAACTGTTGACATCAGTGAAATTAGAAGGCTCCCAGCACCACTGCACACAACCTTTCTAAGCATTTGTAGCTTCACTGCACAGAGCCTTTCTAGGAGTTTATTAGCACAAAATCAATGGTTATAGTGACTAATGTACATGTACATCCTTCTAGCTCTCAAAATAGCTGGCCCATCTCTTCCTCCATCCCTGTCTTAAATAACGTTTTATTCAGCCTCAATCCCATCATGCAGAGATTGCTCTATTAAAAACATAAAAATCATTCTCCCTTATGCTGTGCCTTTAGAATTCCTTTGCCCAGGAGTCACCTGGGTGGCCTTGTTCTGCCTCTGGCCAGCCTTGCCTTTGGTTCCCTTTCCATCGTTCTGAACCAGCGTCGTTAAACAGGTGGCATATGGAAGAGACACTCATAGTAAAGTGGCCCAGAAGACCAATGAAGTACCCTGGGAAACTTAGAGCTGATAACTTAACCTAGCGTGATTATCGCAAGTTCCTGCATAAAAGAAAACCCTGAAGAGTAGAGTCGTGTACCTTTTTATCTAAACTGAATGCCCTTCAGAAGTTTGTGCTAGTTTTGTTTTTGCGATTCTGTGAAAATCCTGTCAAAGGGCCGTGAGATGCCATAGTCTAATTTTCTCTCACTCTTAAACACTTTAATTTTATAAGCAAGGGGACAAAAGATTAGAATTTTCCAGAATCTACTGTGATAGGTCTGTGTTTTATAGAATCCCACATTTGTTGCTGGAAATGGTGTTACAGATGAAACCTTGGCCCAGACAAGCTAAGTGACTTGTGGCAAAGCCATGGTTAGAACTCGGCCCTCTGCTCCAACTCAAGAGTGAAAGTGGACTGTAGGAGCAATGGACTTTGGATCCTCCAGAGACTCCAAGACCTCACTGTCACCCTAGTGAATGAGAGTTAATCTATATTGTTCTATTTTCCTACCCTTTTCGCTGAGTCCAACAGTTGTGTTTCTTTGTTTTACTGTCACTTGATTTTTTAAATCAGGGAGTCTCACTAGGGAATATAAAAATATTCCTCAACCTATTGAATGGCAGTCTCTAGAGGTGGAACTTGGAAAACTGTCATTTGACTATGCTTCCGAGGTGTTTCTGCTGAATGGCCAAGTATGGAAATCACTGTACTGAAATGGTTGGCCCCTCCCGCCGATCACAAATTTTAAATGCTTTTTGTAGTCTCTCCCCCACCCGTCCCCTTTTTCTGTACTCTCTCCTAATACATGAACAAGGTAGCTTCTTA